GGGGAATTCTGGAAGTTGAAGTCCACCCGTCTTAAAGTTGCCAAGGTTGAGGAACCCTGGGTTAGATGACAGGCTGTGGAGAAGCTAATTATGACCTTTGAGATTTAAAAGACTGGAGAAGGAGTGGGAAAGTACTAGTTACAGCAAAAAAGATAGTAACAATCAAAAGGAAAATCAGCATATTTTGTTGCCTGGATTTAAAAGTTTGATGCAATCTGTAAATGTTTGTGGTTGTTGTTTTGTGCAATCTCTAGAAATAGAGGGGGAAATGTTAAAGAAAACAGGTTATGAAAGGCTATGAAGGCATAATAGCCCAGTTACCTTCCCAAAAAAATTAAGACAAAGAAATGTTTGAAGGAGTTGAAAAGACAGAAAAAATTCTGGGGAGTATTTACTGTGGGCCCAGAAGACCCACATCAGCCAATTCTGGGGAGTATTTCAGAATTGAAACAAGCAAAAAAGGAAGTCAGTTGTACCCACCAAGACAATGTGTTTGTGGAAATGCCACAGAATGGTTTCTATTCAATAAATCAGATTATTTTGTAAAATAATAGATAAATGTATTCCAACATATAGAAACACTAACAATTTCAAAGAGTATGAAGATTTATCATAATTAACTCTTGGAAAAAGTCTTAGCAATTCCTATATGCAAGACAGATTTTTAGATCAGTTTGATAAAGAACAAATATAAAAATCGTTATCTTTGAAATTTCACAAAGCATAATAAAATGTTGCAGTAATTGAACTTTGTTCATTTTAATATTCTATATATTTTACAATTCTATAGAAAATGAATTACATAATAGGAAATGTTAACAGCTTAGAAGCAAGTTATTCTTCCTAAAATTTGTATCATTTGTTCCTTTGGCACTTGTTGTCTGTTTATTGTCCATTGATTAATCAAACAACCATATCGAATCATAACATAGCATCAGCATAGTAAAATAGAGTAAAATTGCTACAAATTTATCATGATATACAAAGTGTTCAATAAAATATTAAAATAAGATTTTTTTAAACATTCCCAGTAATATTCTCTTGTCAACTTTACCCGGAGTTGTCCAACTTTATCCAAACTTGCTTGTGGTTTTATTGCTTTAAAATAAATGCATAGAAACTAGGCTTGTCAGTGCAAATTAGTCTATGCTAACTCTAATGCAGCCTTTATGATGAGAAGCCATGAACTTCACCACACTTAAAACAAAACTGAACTAGATTGTTCCAAAAGTTGCAGTTTTATTATTTGTAGTCATTCTTCCAGTTCCCATTGTTGTAAGTGCAACCGGCATTTACCCTCATTCCACGTGTGTTGTGCTTTGAAACACATACACAGTAATCACAAAAAAGTGGTTACATTAGGAACCAGTGAATTCCTTTACTGTGCCATGTCCAAAATTTCTATTATTAATTGTAGTACTTTTTGTAGTACTTTACTTTAAAAGACATTTGGAACCTGCTGTTTAATTAGTGAGCTCCTGATTAGTATGCTCTTGTGCAGCCACTGTTGTCAACAGAACTTGTGCAAACCAACTTCCCTTGCTAATTCTGCTCAGTAGAATGGTATTGATAATAGTCCCATTGATGTATCTTCATAAAATGTATGGTCATAAAAAAGATTTAAAGAAGAAATTCCACATTTTTAGCCCACTCACCAAATCTCTTCAAAAGCTGCAAATCGTTGTCGTCATCTACATCTAATACTGATGCTGGAAGACGGTAGATACATTTTCTCTGCTAATCCGGGCACTATTTCTCATTTATTCCATAGAGAAATTATACAGGGACATGATTTAGATCCAACTGGTTCACCACTTCTAGCTGTGCTTAAAATTGAGGTCATGGTTCTTACACATTCATATGTTGCTTTAGCTGCAGTTTCTGCTTAAATTAAATGTCTTCCTTTCTATGAATTTTTAGTCTGATCACATTGTATATGCGTTTATTTATTTCCAAAAGCATTTCAATGATTAAACTTAGCTTTTTATAGCTTGATGTTTACTTTTAAGGATATTACATATTTAACCAGCTGCCCAGTATCCTTTAGACAGGGAACAATGTCAACCTGCTTTTAATAAATGATTCCTCCTAAAGAAAAAAAAACTACATTGAGATAAGTCCACACTGATTGCATTAACAATTAATTTGATGTAAGTATGCCAATGATTGCAACTTTTTTTTTCTCTAGGTGATTATCAAGGGTAAAATAAATACTGGAAATTAGTGCAGCTAATATCGGGTTCAGTTTTATTACACTGAAGAACTTTTTATCATACAGATCCATGGCATTTACATTTCAATACTGCTTTCATCTTATCCCTTAGGGTGTTAAAGAAGTTATTTGAAGGACTTGACAATCTCAGCCAGAGGTTCTATCATGAGAGGAAAAAAAATACCAGCTCACTGTATAACCAGCCCAATCTGGCCCCATAGAAAATTAGACTTTGATTTTTTTTTTTGCTCTGAAATCTGGAGTTCTGGAAAAGCAGGGGAGTACTGATTTGGCAAGTGGTGTAAAGCAGGAGGAGACAGGCAGGATTTCATTAAGCTTAAAATGTCTGAAAACCAGGGAGGCTAATGGCAACCCTTTTAATGCCCTGAGCAAACTAAAAAACTAGAGAAGGCAAGTGACAAAACACGCACAATGGCATCATCATGCAAATGCTCAATATATTGTTACAGATGTTGGGACATACATTCATAATCACAGCATCTACATGATGA